GGGTTCGCCATTTTGGTTAATTACTGGAAGATGGCGGTTCCGGCCAAAAGGCGCCCGGCGTGAGTTTAAACCACCAGGTCCAGGACACGAACTGCGGTCAACTACATGGGAGTCCAGAGACATAGCCATTACGCTAACTGCTGGTCCCTACAACCTTTTAGATTCTGCACTCTTAGCCTGAGTCTTAGTTGAAGTAGCGAGTAGAGAACATGGCTATTTTCTGGTAACTCTCTCTTCCTCAAGAAGAGACACTCAGGACCAGCAGTTGGCATAATGGCTATGTTGCTGGACTTCCATGTAGTCGACCACAGTTTGGGTCCTGGACCCGGTGGCCTCATGTCAGATGCGTGTGCATGCGTGCCCAAGGTGTGCGTATGTACCCAAGATCCTGAGAGGAGAATGGAGGAGAAGGGATTGCGGCGTGGTCATCCCCCCCCGGGGGGGCGTGATTTCTCGCTTTCTGTCTCTCTCTTTCTGGCAAGCACGTGTGCCCTATAGCAAAAATCTCTCAAAAAAAAAAAAGAAAAAAAAGAAGAGACGCTCATTGGAATAAAGGGTTTAATGGTCTCTACTCACAGTAGAAGCAAGACACACAGGCCCATTGCCCCTCTGCACGCCTCTCTCTTCCCCCATGCAGGGTGGGGGGCACAGGGTCGAGGGGTGGTGTGTGTATCCCCGATGTGGGCTCTCCCACCCTTCTGATCACTTGGAGTCTCTTTTCATATTCCCCTCAGGTGGTTCTTTCCTTTCCCAATAAAAGTCCCAGTGCAGCAGAGTTGAGGGAGGAGGGCAGGGGAGGGAGCGGAGGGTTGGGGACCCACACTCAGTCTGGCGTGGTCAGGGTGGAGCACAGGTGCATGTGCCATGGCTATGTGCCATGGTCCAGTCCTGTGAGCTCTGAGTTCTCTCCACAGCAGGCCACTCTCAGAGGTCGCATCCGATGTCTCTCCTGAGCTCTTTAAACCACTTCTCCCATCCTTTGGCAGTGGTGGGACTGCTATGGGTAAGGCCGAGGCCTGGCCCCTCTGTCACCTCTGGCACAGGGAAAGGAGGTATGGAAGGACAGGAGGGGAGGCAGGTCAGCCTCGGGTGCTACTCCCCCGCTCCCCCAGGAGCCAGTAGGTCCGAACTTTGCCTTTGCCCTGGAGGAAAAGAGAAGAGGAGGTTGGGGTGGGGAGTGGCAAGCCCATTTTCCCAAATTAGACGACAGACCCAGGGTTGGGAGTGGCATTGGTTGTTTGAGAAGGGTGATGCCCTCTGGGACCCCAAAGAGTGGCAAGGGCTTTCTTCTTTGTACCTTCATTTCTATATCCCCTCGAAGCTCCAGCTCAAAACCACCAAACTCCTCCAAGGCAGCCTTGGTCTCTGAAGACAAGTGGATCTTCAGGGCTAGGTAGGATGAGGGACAAGGAAAGGTGAGGAATACAGGAGCGCGGGGCAGAAGAGATCCGGAACTGGGGCGGGGTTGGGGGGAAGAGGAGGGTGCAGGCGGACGAATGCTCTCCCCGCCCCCTTGCAGTCCAGGACACTAATTCAGAGAAGGCCCACCCCCCTCCATACAGGGCATGACCCTCTTGGACTCTTCTTTTTTTTTGGATCCTTTTTCTTTCTTTTTGGAGAGGTTTTTGCTATAGGGTGCATGCGCTCGCCAGATAGACAGAGAGAGACAGAGAGAGAGAAAGCAAGAAATCCCAGGGGGGTGGGCCACACCGCAATCCCTTCTCCCACAATCCCTTCTCCCTGGACCGGGTCCGGGACTCAAACCACGGTGGACTACGTGGGAGTCCAGTGACATAGCCATTACACTAACTGCTGGCCTCCCTCTTGGACTCTTCTTTGGAACCCTAGAGCTTTGTGCCCAAATGTTAGCTGCAAGTCACACGTGCCTATTTACATTTAAATTAAAGCTGAGTGCAGTTTAAAATGAGTCACTTTTCAAGGGATCAATAGCCACACATGACTGGAGGCTACAGGGCAGCTCGGGCTGGCTGCAGAGGGCACCACTGGACACACTGCTGTGGAGCAGTGCTGGGCTCCCGAGTGGCTAGGGGCTTACCCTTCAGATCTGCCTTGCCTTCCTGGGCACCCAGTTCCAACACTGGCTTGGGCAAGTCAGAGAAACTCTCTGTGCCTCATTTTTCTAATCTGCAAAGTGCCAATGGAGACAGTGCTCCTCTTTGTGGTGCTGATTAAACATAATACTCAAAAGTATTTAAGCCAAATGGGGCACACAGGAGGCCCTATCGAAGGGGTTGCTGTCCCTGTTACGAAATTCAATACCCTCAATTTATGGCTGAAGTACGGAGGCCTAGGGAAGCAGATCTGCCCAGGCAGTGAGGAGGTGAGTGATGGAGGGGGCCCAATACTCCCACACTCTGTCTTTGCTCTCTGAACTCATGTCCCCACTTCCGCAGTTTGCATCACGGAGACCTCATTCTATTTTTTAAAAAATAATCTTATTTATTCATTCATTTATTTTAATTTGACCAGAGAGAGAGAGAAAGAGAGAGAGAGGAAACAAGCCACCAGGTCTAGGACTCAAACTACAGTCAGCCATGTGGGAGTATCCAGCGCCTTAACCACCACCCCACCTTCTGGTCCCATCCGGTTCTATTTTTACTTGTCAGAGGGTGCAAATGTTCACCAGAGAGAGACAGAGAAACAGAGAGAGAGAGATGGAGATGGAAAAAAAACACTCCCTGATGGACATGGCCACGCTGTAATCCCTTCTCCTCCATTTCTCCATTCTATCGGGACTTTGACCATACCCACACATGCTTTTCAAACTACCAGGGCTGGAATTTGAACCACATGGTCAGCCCTGTGAGATCTGGCTTCCTTAACCACAGGACTAGGCCTTTGGTTTGCTTGTTTGTTTGTCTGTTTCTTCCAAGAGAGAGAGGAACAAAGAAAGAGACAGAGGGATGGCATCCTAGCAGGGTTCAAGCCCAGCCTTGGCCAGCTCAGATCATGGGCATGTCCTGCATGCACAGGAAGGTCCCGGGATGTGAACTGAAAACCTTCACATGTAAGTCCAGTCAGCAGTGCTACTGCTGTGCCATCTGGACCCCCTTGTTTTGTTGAACAATTTATGAGATGGGGCTCCTTGAAGACTAGGTACTCTCATGCCCCGGGTGCCAAACACAGTGCCTGTGACTATCTGCTCACCTAGAGCCCTTGGGCTCCCAAGCAGGCCCCTCTCCCACCATGAGGGTGGAGGGGTCCACATGGATACCCCAACTCTGGCTTTGGGCCTCTCAGGATCCCAGGACCTGGCAATCTGCAGTCACTCAATAAATGTTACTATAAATGCTTCCTGAGTTGAATTGGTTGGTTACAACAGGAGGAAAGATGACGGAAGCAAGACCAGGAAAAGGGGTTGGGACAAGCATTTGTTAGGTACCTACTGTGTGCAGCTGTGCTGGGCTTCGTACAATCCTAAAACGGACATCATTCTACACAGAAACAGCTAAGGCCCAGAAAAGCAGAATAGTGATTAAGTGCTAGGCATTTTGTGTGACTTTCTCACATAACTCCTATGAGGTAGATGTGTCATTGTCGTTGAACAGAGGAGGGAAACCGAGGTGCAGAGAGGTATAGCAAACTGACACACAGTCAGCTCGGGGGCTGAGATTCACGCCCACCGTGGGGCTGGCTCTGAAGCTGTCCTTTAACACCAAAGACAGAGCAGAGGGCGCTGCAGGCGGGGTTCCTGCTGGGAACCGTCGAACAAGGGCCTAGACACACTTTCAGTCATTTGGTGCTATGGTCTGAACGTCCCCCTCCCAAAATTCATGTGTTGAGATTTAGTTGTGACGGAATTTAAAAAGTTAAAACTCGGGGGACCAGCAGTTAGCATAATGGCTATGTAGCTGGACTCCCATGTAGTCAACCGCGGTTTGAGTCCTGGACCCAGCGGCTTAAACTCACGCCGGGCACGTGTGCGTGTGTGCCCAAGATCCCCAGAGGAGTATGGAGGAGAAAGCATTGGGCGTGGCCATCCCCTCTGGGGGGTGATTTCTCGCTTTCTGTCTCTCTGTCTCTTTCTGTCTGTCTGGCGAACGCACACGCCCTATAGCAAAACAAAAACAAACAAACAAACACTCAAAAAAAAACACAAAACTTAAAACTCCATCCAACTGTGGTGTTGAAAGGAGGGGCCGTTAGGAGGAGACCAACATTAAGGTCAGAAGTCCCACAATTGACATAAGGAGAGGGAATAAGAGCAGGACAGACCATGTGGACAGTCACGATGCCTGCTGTCATACAGCGAGGAGAACCCCACCAGCCATGGCCCCAGACCTAGGCTCTCCAGACCTTGAGCTGACAAATCTCTGTTCTCTTAAATTGCCCAGACTAGGGTATCTTTCTATTATTAGCGACAGAACAGACCAGAGCATTTGGCAAGATGGGACAGCAAGACCCCTACTCTCTGATTAGATTCAAGGAGATGTGCCCAGGCCGAACTTGGGAGGAGAGAGGGCTGGGAGCCGGGACTGGAGTCCTGTAGACACAAGCTGCTCCCAGCAAGCAGTTTCCCTTGGCCCCTGCCTTCCCCAGCCCCTCCGGAAAGGGCACCTGTACCTTCTCCATTAGACTCCATTCTCGAGGCTGTGTTGACCGTGTCCCCGAAGAGACAGTAGCGGGGCATCTTCAGCCCTACCACACCAGCACAGACAGGTCCTGGGAGGCCAAAGGAAGAAGAGGAGTCTGTTAGTAAGGGAGGGAGGAAAGGGGATAAAAGGGGGGTAGGTAGGAGAAATGGGGGTGGCCACAGGAGGAGGGAGGGCATTCCAGGAGAGGCAGGAGGTGGCATCCAACATCCGGGCTGTGTGTGTGGGTTGTGGGCGTGTACGGGTGCCTATGTTATGAGGGGTGAAGGACTGTGCCCAGGGACAAGTCTCCCTTCTGCAGCTCCTGCCTTTGGAGGCCCTGTCCTTCGATGGTGGTGGCCCCACCTGTGTGAATGCCGATGCGCAGGCGCAGCTGCTCCTGGGGCCGGTGGCGGATGCGGAAGGAGTGCACAGCGTCCAGCAAAGCCAAGGCCATGCGGGCCACCTCGCGGGCGTGGAGCCGCCCGTTCCGCACAGGAAGTCCCGACACCACCATGTAGGCATCGCCGATGGTCTCCACCTGAGCGAGTGAGGGCGCAGGGCTCAAGGACTGAAACGTCCTTCTCCTTGCGCCGCTTGCTCCGTCACCCTGGACTCTGTCTGTCCCCATCCGCCAGCCGCTACCTCTCTGCCTCTGCTCATCCCCCAGTCCACCTGGTCTTTCCGCCTGTCCCTGGGTCTCCCCAGGCCCCTGTCTCTGCCCATGTTCCCTGTCTCCAGTCCTGAGAATCCACATCATTCTGTCTGCCCCTGCCCCATCCCTATCTGTCTGTCCACCTCTTCCCCTCTCACCTTGTACACATCAAAGTTATCTATGACAGCATCGAAGCAAGTGTACAGGTCGTTGAGCAAGGTCACCACCTGGAAGGGAGGACACACCAAGAGGGGTGGGAGACGGGAAGCAGAAAGCAGGACGGAGCCAAGCCTGCCTGGCCTGACTTGCGCGGGGAGCCCTGACCTGCATGGGCGTGCTCTCCGCAGACAGAGCCGTGAAGCCCACGATGTCACTGAAGTAGATGGTAACGCTGTCGAAGGCTTCAGCCTGGACCGTCTCCCCGCGCTTCAGCTGCTCGGCCACTGAACTGAGGGGCAGGCCGGTGTGCGGTCAAGGCAGAGGTGGGCCGGGACAGGACTGGGTGTGTGGGCGGCTCCCCAGACACAGGTACTTACTGAGGCAGAATCTGGTAGAGCAGGGCCTCAGCCTTGCGCTTCTCCTCCAGGTAGGCCTGCGTGCGCTCCTCCACCAGCTCCTCCAGGTTGTTGGCGTACTGCTCCATGCGGGACAGCAGGTTGTCCAGGATGTTGCTGCTGTTCTCCCTGCGGGGGTGGAGGGATAGTGAGCGAGGAGCCTGCCGGCGAGCCCACCCCCAGGTACTCGCCCTACCCAGGCTGAATGTCAGCCCACCCCCACCTGCTGGGGCTCCCTGGAGAGGGCGTGGGAGGCACTGAGCAGGGGAAGGGGCAGGGAGCTGAGCTCATCTCCGGGACCCCAGTGTCAGATCTATCAATTTGCTGTTCTTCTCTATCGAACACAGGTGAGATAGAGGAAGTGGAGCTAGACGGGGTCCATTGAGGACACAGGCAGCAGAGGAAGAAACTGGGCCCATGGAGATCAAAGGGCTGAGGTGGGAACTCCGGCCAGGGGCTGGAGAGGATATAGGGAGGAGGTGGGAAGCCAGGGTCCTGTGGCCCATTCTCTCTGCATCCCACCGATAGGTCTAGGGTTGGGCGGGGGCGGGGGCAGTCAGTGTTGGTGGAGGAAAGGAGGATGAATGGTGGGGGACCTTGAGGACAACTAAGTTATGTGGTACATGCTAAGTGGGCTGTGAGACTGTGCTGTGCTGGGGTGGGCTATGGATGGAGAGTGGGTTACCTCTGCAGCTGCATAAAGCTTAAGTGTGGGGTGCATGGTGGCTGGGGGAGGCCAGGAACCCACGACTACATGAGACCTGTTAAACTTGCGCAGCATCAGGCGGATCTGCTGGAAGGGTGGCCGCTCCTGTGGGTCCTCGGCCCAGCAGCGCTGCATCAGCTGCCCCAGCTCCTCCAGGTGGCTCTGCAGGGCCAGGGAGGGCCGGAAGGGGGGCTGCTCACCCCGAGTCACACGCTCAATGATCTCTGTATTGTGAGGGGGAAAGGGGCTGAGAGATGGGGTTGGCCAAGCGCCTAGGGAGAGATCGGGGACCACCAGCTGGGGCAGTTGGGATAGTTCAGGACCAGGCATGGGATGGGGGAGCCGGGCAGGGGACTGGCCACTGGCGTAGCGGAACAGAGCGTGGTGGCTGAGCCCATTCCAGAGGAAGGTGTGGTGGTGTTTCAGGGGTCCCACTCCCTGAGGTCCTCTCACCTTTGGGGCTGAGGTCCAAACCTTCCACATGGAAGACCCCACTCCTCAATGCAATCTCCTGAAGGATGATCCCAAAGCTATACACATCGCCAGCCTGGGAGCCCCGGGCAGGGGGCGAAGCCATTCGCAAGAGTTCAGGGGCTGTCCACAACTTTTCTGTGGGTCAGAGGTCAGGAGTCATAGGACAAGGGTTGCCCAAAGCTAAGGGATGAGGGGGAAAACAAAAATGTGGCTGGGACTGCTCTGGACATATCACAGAGTGTTAGAGCATGATGAGGCCTTAGAAACCACTTAGTCTGACCTCCCCCTTTTAATTTTTGATTATTTTCATTATTATTCAGTTTTTCTGAGGAAGAGAGACAACAGACAGGTGCCCTCAATAAGAGCTTTACACCTTGATCCTACTCCCAAGTCTTGGCCACCCAGAATCATGGATGCCTGTGTGTGCCGTGTGCAGGCCCAGAATGCACAGGGAACCCCTGGGACCTTCCCACATGACCTCAGCGTTGGGGAGTGTTGTTAGGCCTGCACCACCATGGCGTCTCCCTCTTTTTACTTGTGAATGAATTAAACCTGGAGTCAGGAAAGACACGCCCAAGCCCATCAGAGGCCGGCCATCAGTTCCCTTACGGGGTTGGGATGGGGGTGGTGCTGGGATCAAGAGTCGGGGCTCACTGGCATAGAGAATGTGTCCTTGCTCTGGCTCCGGGTCCCTGAAGCTCTCCAGGCCATAGTCGGTGATCTTGAGCACAAAGCGCCCATCTACCACGCAGTTGGAGGACTTAAGGTTCCCATGGGAGCAAATGGCTCCATTGTGTAGAAACAGCATGCCCTAGGGAGTTGAGAAGGCAGAGGTCTTGGGCCTGAGTGAGACCTACAGCCAGGGTCAGAGAAGCCTGCCCGCCCCTCCCCTCACGTCCAAGGGGTGTTGGGGCCCACCTTGACGATGTCATTGGTGAGTGAGTACCGGAACATCCAGTCTAGGGTGATGCTCTCATTCTCGAGAATGTCCTGCTGGGACAGTGAGAGTTAGGCTGCATCCTGCAGACTCCTCCAGGAGTGGGAGGAGGGCACAGGGGGGCTACTGACATAAACTGGTAGGACAGACAAAACTAGGTTTACTCTAGTGCCATCTCCCTCCTCCCACTCCCACGTTACAGATGGCTATGAGGGACAGGCTTGCCTGGGATCATAGGGCCAGTCAGGGGCAGAGCCAGGGCTAGAACCCAGGTTTTCCGACATGCTTTTATCCCCCTCACCTGCAGGCTCCCACGGGGACAGTACTCGGTGAGGATACAGATGTTGGGGGAGTCGGTGCAGGCACCCACAAACCTAGTCAGGTGTTCGTTCTGCACATCCCGCATCTGCGGGTGGAGCCAGGATCAGGAGACGGGTAGACGCCCCACTCCTCACCTAGTTGCCCACCAGTCTCAGACCTCTCCTTCTTCTTCGCTCCCTAGTCGTCTTCGGCAGGTATCACTAGGGCCTTCCACGGTGATGACCACCCACATGCTCCCCCAGAACTGCTTCCCGCTCCTGCTTTCCTCCTCCACTCCAGGCATCATGCCTGGCCCTCAGGGACCTCCTTCTAGGGTATCTGCCATGATCCCTTCTCCCATCTGTGATTTCCCACTTCCACCCACGAGATACAAGGTCTGCCTGCCCCAGGGCTACAGATCCCCTGAGGCCCCTCCATAACCAGCTCTGATGGCTAACCCGCCCTGTGCCCGCCCTTCCCCAGGCCACTGTCTTACTCCCCCACATTACATGCTTCAATTCAAACAGGACTTTTCGTGTCAGCTCAATGCGTTTCCGGTTCACACGTTTCACAGCCACGAGGTTGCCCTGGGCAAGAAAGGAGACCATCACTGCCAGGAGCATGCCCTGGGCCCTGGGACCCACCTCCGTCCCTGAGGCCCTCCCCAGTCCTCCCTCAGAGCTTGCCCTGCCCCAGTCCTTTCCCCAGACCTACCTTATAATATGCTGTTTTGGCAAAGACTTGAAACTGGCCCTCTGTGGTCAGCAGGGAGCCATAGTTGGAGCCTCTCTGAAGGCAGAGAGAGCAGAAGGGACGGTCAGTCCAAGGGCCTGGTCTGTGCTGAGTTGCTTGAGCTCTGGTCTCTACTACCTGGTTTATCTCTGTGTCACCCTCCCTTGAGTTCCACATCAAGAAATCCTCTCAGGGCCAGTAAGTGGCATGGTGGTTAGGGGGCTAGATTCCTACATGACAAACCATGGTTCAAGACCCGGTCCTGGCTTCTTGCTTTCTCACTGCTCCCCCCTCCTGCCCCCGCTGGTGATTATAGCAAGTTAAAATAATAGTAATAATAAATTAAATAAATAAATAGTTCATTTTAAAAAATGGGGAATCTTCTCTTCTTCCACTTGTTTTTGTAAATGTACTTTCACACGTACTATCTCCTATGACCTTTGAAAGAGCCCCGTGAGGGAAGGCTCTATAGCGGTAACCACTCTGCAGTCTCAGAGAGGGAATGTGACTCATTCAAGGTCACACAGCATATAAAACAGGGCTGGGACTAGAACCCTGCTCACTACCTTCCCCATCAGGCACAGTCCCCAGCACCCAGGTCTCCGGGACCACCCACCACGTCCTTGTAAACACCAGCGTGCTCTTACCCCGCTCAGCGTCAGCCGGCTGCCCGCACTCCGGAGGTGCCTCTCAAGGCTACTGGGCTGTAAGTCCTCCCAGCGCACCCGCCACAGCTCCGAGGCCAGCTCTTTCTCCAGCTGCATCTTCCTGGGACATGAAGCTTGCACCTGAGCCTAGGTCTGAGCCCTGACACCCCGTGTGTGCATATGTGGGGGGCAGACTCAGCAGCCCCTCCTGAGTCCCAGGACCACTCCTTGTGCTAAGAGATGGGTGGGGGGATTCTGTCCTCCAGGCTGAGAGTGAGAAGACATCATTGGGGACCCTGATAAAGTCACCTCAGTGTCCTTGTTTGGAAGTCGAGGGCCTCATTTATTTTATTCTGAACTGTTATCAGAATGAGAAGCAAGGCTGCGGGCGGGCGGGCTGACGCACAGCGCATGCTCAGCACCCCTGGTCACCTCTCCTCCCTCCTGGCTTTCCTGTCAGTCTCTGGTACTTTCTCTTTAGCCTCCTCTGGGAGGCCTGTAGAGCTTGTTCAGCTCTCTTCTCCATGCTAGGCTCGGCGTCTGGCACACAGGACTCAGCTAGCTCTAAGGGTTGGCACGGCCGTCCGTGACACCTCCATGACACCACTCCCCAACTTCTCTGTTCCTCCAACCTCCTGAGTCTCCCTGGCCACTCTGAGCCCTGTCCCCTCTCTCTGCCCACTCCCTTCCCCACTCCTTCTCCCTTCTCTGTGTCCTAAAGCTTTTTAGGTCTCTTCTCCCCATTTCCTTTCCCAGGCCTTCCCCCCGCTGTCCCTCTGGGTCCCTGCCACCTCCTCTGCCATTGGTTCTCCAGGCTTCGCAGCCCTCTCTCCCCCACACCACGGCTCACCTGTATATGAAGAAGGAGACGATCAGAAAGCTGAGCAGGGACAGGCTGCCCGCCAAAGCCAGCACCTCCAGGGTGGAAAAGTGATCTGCTGGAGAGAGTCCGAGTGGTAGCAAAAGAGGTGTGGGGGAGACCGCAGAAAGGAGTTGTGTTTGGAGAGAACGGAAGCTCGGGGACGCCTCGGTTCACTTCTCCCATCCCCTGCTCTTCGCTGCCTGGCCCTCCAAACATATATTTGTATAGAATAGTGGTAAAGGGACAGCAGCAATGGTTGAAGTTGGGCATTTAGCACTCGTTAAAGGAAAGAGGGCCTGAAGGAAGTTGTAGAGGTTCCTTATAAAAGAGGAAAGCTGCTCTGTAGCCCTGTGAACCGTAAATGCATTGAGCTGACCCAAAAGTCCTGTTTGAATTGAAGCATGTAATGTGGGGAGGAAGGCAGTGGTCTGGGGAAGGGTCCTGTGGGGACATAGGAGGGTTGGCCATCAGAGCTGGTTATGGAGGGGCCTCAGGGTATCTGAACCTAATAGTCAGTCAGTGAACTGGGATGATGCATGAAGAGAAGGAAAGGCCAGGAGGTGTCTCTTTCTCCAGAAAACCTTCAGCCTAAGGAAGGGGCCACCACCTGCCTCCGTGTGGGGAAGGAAGCAGGTCTCCAGAACAAAGGCTACTAGGTAGGGCCAGTCACCTTGGTTGCAGGCTGGGTCTTCGTTGTTAAAGCCACATTTGGGGATGTCGGGAGGAGGGTACCCCAGAGGCCAGTTCAGCATGCGCCCTGACACGGTCACCAGCTCTTGGGAAGTCCCGTTGTAGTTTAGTACAACCTGAGGGTGAGCAGGAGTAGGGGGCAGGCAAGTGCTGGGGTGAGGCCCCCTGTCCAGGGGACAACCTACCCTCCCAGTGATCCATTTCTGCTCCAGAGCCTACATCTGGGCTGTCAACCACTAACCACGCCTCTGCTTTGACTGGATACAGAGGGACCTCACATGCAGGCCCATGTTATTCAAGTGTAAAAACTTCAAAATGGCTCAAAGGCATTGTAAAGAAAACTCCATATAGGGACCAGCTACAGTGCTGCAGGAGGTAGGAGGCTACTGTGCGACACTGGAGCCATATGGGAAGGCCTGGGGTTCGAATGCTGGTTCTGCCTGAACGTGCTACCTGCCACCATGTGTGCCCATGGTCCTGGCTGGAGAGAAGGCTGGAGGAGGGTCACGTTGCAGGGAGGAGCCCTCTCTCTGTGTCTCTCAATAAATAAACTTGAACACTTCACATACACAAGTACTATAAAAAGTTTGTGGAAATTGGAATTAATGTACGTGTTTATTTTGGTGCAAAAAAATTTTTTGGGGGGGGAGGTTTTTGCTATAGGGCGCGTGCGCTCGCCAGACAAGACAGAGAGAGACAGAGAGATAGAAAGCGAGAAATCACCCCCAGGGGGGATGCCCACACCGCAATCCCTTCTCCTCCATTCTCCTCTTGGGATCTTGGGCACGCACACACATGCGCCCGGCGTGAGTTTTAAGCCACCGGGTCTGGGACGCAAACCGCGGTCGACTACGTGGGAGTCCAGTGACATAGCCATTACGCTAACTGCTGGTCCTTGGTGCAAAATTTTTGAATCCACCCAATTTTTTACCATATGCACTTTCCATGAACATTTTTGAAGACTCCTTATAGAACTCCACTATTACACTCAAGGAGTTTATATTCTTGGTTCAAAATATTCACCTTGGTCTGCATGCTCAGGTCTAATCCATGTACCCCCTCCCTCCCCAGGAAGCCTTCCCTGGATGACCTGATCCTTGGTGTCTTTGGCCTCTGGCCTCGGTCACTTCCTGTCCCCACGGCACTGTAGAACTGTGTAATGTGCTTTGCTCTTGGCTCTGCATTGGCCTGTCTCTGCTGGGAGGGTGTCCTGTCTACCTTAGGAGCTCCTGAGGGCAGAGCTGGGCTCCCTCCTCAGCCACAGGATTCTCAAGGGTGATGCCTATGAGTCCCTAATAATTCTGGTTGTGCCCCTAGACTGGTGCTGGGTCTAGGGATCCAGCTTAATGGGGTGACAACAGAATAAACAGATGTCCTGGGAGGGCTTTGGTGGAGAAGTAGGCACAGCCTTCTGGGTGCACAAACTTACCCTATAGGTACCAGTCTCAGGATCCATATCCCAGAGGGAGAAGTCAGTCTCCCGATCACCACTGCTGTCAATTTTCAGGTGTCCTGTCACTCCTGGGGCAGAGAGGAGGGCGGTTGTGTTTGGACAGAATAGAAAATCAGGGATGCCCCAGTTCACTTTATCTCCCACCCCCTGCTCTTCACTGCCTGGCCCTCCAAACATATATTTGTACA